TTTGCTTTCTTACTCTCACCTTCATTTCTCATTCACTCGAAAAACTTCATACTCGAAGATTTTTCTTCAAATTGGAGAACAGGAAGTAATCACTGGCGTCCAGGTCTGGACTGTATGCTGGGTGGTCGGCGTGCTCGGGTGCATTGTCTTACAAAACTAGGACTCCCTTGGCCTGTCTCCGTTTCTCGATAATCATCTGACGCACTAATATCAACAATGTGGCATAACAGACTCCGTTTATTGTAGTTTTTTTAATCAAGACAGTCGATGAACAGAATTCCTTCAGAATGACAAAATCTTTGGTAACGGCTGTTTCGGACGCTCTGACCTGGAAGCATCTTCCAGCTACTCTCTGCCACGCTCGAATTCTCAAACGTTATCGAAAGTAACCTTTCCGTCATCCCTGGTTAATTTTGATTTATGGGAAAACAAACATTTTTTCGAGAGATAGTGAATAAACATTGGGCTTGGTTAAAAATTCGAAAATGATTGGAAAACTAAAATTTTTTCCGAGTCTCACTTTCTATTTCGAATGTGCAACTCGAGTCGAGAACTAGGCCAGCAAAACGGAACCCTCGTTATCCAATGTGCTTTCCTCCCTTCGTTATGAATTCGAAATCCAGCACATTATCGAATTGAAATTTTAATGAGAGAGTGTAATTGTCTTATATTCCCTTGAAGAACGAGCTGGATTTCACTATCTCTCTTGTTACTATGGTTTCCATTTTTTTTTTTAACCCATCTCGAACATATTTCCAATTTACTATGAACGTTGGAAAACGTGTATAGGGAAGCGTAACGATTTTAATGACATCAAATTCGATATTTATACTACGAAGGACATTAGCATTATGACATTTAAGCATCCTCTAGTAGAATAAGAGGTGGCGGTCTTTTTTTTATATCTGACGTTATTCATGCAAAAGAGCTATATGTTTAGCCAAGAAGAAGAAGAAGAAGCTTTTTAGCGTTTAGCAACGTCTCTAACATGAAAATTTATATTATGAAAAGTACCTATCTATCACCAAATACTATGAAATTGTAGATAATAGAAAATAACCAAAAGTGATCAAAATAAGGTGTATATATTATTTTGGCCCTGGGTGTAGTACATAGTTTTCAGTTGCTGTTGTCATTTATAATTCAGCCCAACCGACACGTCCCACCCTCCCTAAATCATAAAAACAATTGTATTTTTAGACGTAGTTTAGATTACTTCTCACTTGCATGACGATTACGTGGTAATCTATTTATTAATTTGTAAATTGTATTTGTAATATTTAGTTTAATAGTTATAATTGTAATTAGCATATATCAATTATTTGTTTCAGTTTTGTTGAATTACTTAAGACTAACAATTAAACTAAAGTTTCTGCATATGAATTTGTTTTTATTTCATTATTTTTCTTATTTATTTTGTTTTTGTTTTTTTTTTTTTTATTTTTTTTTTGTGGCTTTAGCAATTACAGATATTATTTCGTTTTCCTTTTATTTCAAACACACATTTAATTCCAATTTTAAACGTTGTAATTTGTAGTAGTCGTACGCTAATATTTGTATGTTTGCATGTATTTATGTGTGTATAAATGTTTTTGTATTTTGTATATTCACTGCAATTTAGTGGAAATTATCTTATACAAAAACATTTTTTTAATATTTTTGTTTTAATGTTTTATGCTAAGTTTTTGTTGTCTGTATATGTAAATTTTAAACAGATTGGTTCAAAATCGCAACCATTTTAATGCTTTCAAATAGAAATTATTATAATATAGCATTGCTACTCAAACTAAGGCAAAAGATATGCACAATGCATATACGTACATACTTAGTACGAAAATGATGCAAAACCACAAAATTAGCAATAAAATTTGACTAAATTAATAAAATTTACTAATTGTAATATAAGACGTAACATAAGAAATTAATTAGTGCTTAAAAACTTGTTTACAAATAATTTTGTTTTCTTTTCTTTTTTGCGATGTTTATTATATTTAAGCTTGATTTTTTTTTTTTTTTAGTAATGATTTTTGTAAGTTTTTGTTGTCGTAATTATCATTTCCATATTGCACTTGAAGCCAGTGAAGTAATGAATTCATGGAGAGGAGGGAATTGATAGTCGACCTTTTATTTTTATTTTATTGTTACACAATTTAATCTTTTTTTAAAAGTAAACTTAAATATTATGTCATCACTTTACGGCGACAACAGAGAACAAATGAGCGTAAACTAATTGAAAAATATAATTGTATTATATTAGATTCAAAAATTTATAATTATTATAATTATCATGTTCATTTCGATGTATTTTGGAACGAATTTCCGTCATCCCTTGTTAATTTTGATAAGGAGACAAACCGGTTTCGGCGTTGTGTAATCTTCAGTGTCATTTTTTGTTCCCTCGAAAACAAGGGACGATGGAAATTCCTTCCGAAATGAATCATACTCCTGCGCTGTCAGAAGCATTATTAATCAAAAAGAGACTAATTAAATTCAATAACTTTACGTAATGACACATAATCCAATAAAATTTAATTACAATTTATTTTTTTTTTTCTATGAACTAAAATAAACTCTAACAGCTTGATAATGCGAGCGACTAAGCCGACTGGAAGTTGATTGAGGTGTAAACATGTAAATGTTAGTGGCCGATTTTAAAGTGATTGCCCGATATTTTATTTTTTTTTTTTAAGCAAAGGAAACGAAAGTAATGTATGCGGAAAGAAAGTAAAGGCTGGGTTTCACTACATATTTCATATTTTAACGACAAACTTTATTGACTTATTTTTAGACAACGCCCTTCTCTTCATCCATGCCCTTACCAATAATAGTATGTTCGAAAAATACAGGCAGCCATTTGAGAATGTATTTTCACTTTGACATAGTGAAAACCAGCCGTAAATTGCAAAATTGCTTTGAGAAATATATCGCGAGTTTGCTGGAAGAACGGCATACCTCCACAAATTCAAAACTCAGAAAATTGCTTTAAGTGTTCAATTAAGTTTTACGGACTGTATCAAAATAAATAATATCTAAAAAATATAGAGAGTATGTATAATCTAAGAATTTAATTCAGAGCATAAAACTATTATCAAACGTTACTTGGTTCCTAACTTTGATCAAAGAGTGATGGCTGTAGTGGTTAAACAATGTGAAAATTAGTAAAGTGGTACAAAATATAAAATTTCTTCTTATGAAGCAAAATTTACAAGAATTCGTTATGTATTATTTTACACAATATAAAAGAAGTGCTGAGTGCGATTCCGGCATAATTAACTCAAAATAATAGTATAACGTCCTTCCAGCAAAGGATCGATGTGTTCTTGAAGTTTTAGCACAACATATTTCAAATTCAATTTTATTCTCGCCACATATGTATACCTTGTTAGAAAATGCAAATTTAAGGTGTTAAACAACTCAGCAATCATAAACTTAGCTTTCACGAAATTTATTTGGGGACTCCGATTCAATTCCACATTCAACTATGCAACTTGTCCAGCTTAACGCATAATCTGGACAAATATATATTTTTTCAACTTTTTTCTTTCCTGGAAGCCAATTCTCGTTCTAAGAAATGGTGAACTGAAAATTAAAAATTCAAATTCCGTGAAAATTTCAGTTTTTTACGTTATCATTCCATTTTATGATTTTAAGCGATTCTCAAACACCAAAAGCTTTTAAAGAAGCATCTAGAAAGTAATTATTTTGTAAACTTATGTCAGTAAAAGATAATGCTATCCTTTATCAAAAGATTATGATTTTGAGCAAAATGCCCAACATATGATTTTCATAGCCACAAACCTTTGTGAAAAAACTGTTCACAGTAAAAAAAAAAATTGTTTAAATAAATTAATTTTCATTTGCAACCCCGAACCGTAAGTTTGTGTGAAGTGATGAAAAATGCTGCCACTTAACGTTTTCACAGAACAAGAATTGGCCCTCTGGATTGATTTAAAACTAAAGAAAATTTTACATACATGCTATAAGTAATTTCTTGAAATTTCTCAAGAGTTGAACTACAATTTTCTTTTATAAAACGTTGTATTATTCGGATTCATTCAATGTTTTTAACTATGAAAATGAAAATACTTTGGAACGAGCAAATTTCAAATTTTTCATTAACACTCTAATAATTCCTATATTATTTAGATTTTTGATTGAGTAATCCCATGCGTATGACAATTGATTTGCAAATATCTACTTTATTCTATTAAATAGATTTGTTATTTCAAAAACCATTTTCAGATGGAAACTAATATTTTTAAAAAATAATTATAAAAATAAAACTAGCCGATAAATTGCATAAAAGCTATTATATACCAAAGCGTTTTTGTATTTCATGAGCTTGATAAAGGCTTACAAAATAAAATGTAATACTTAGGTAGAATTTATGGGGGAAAAAAACAGCAAAAGCTTTTTCTCAATTGAGAATAACTATAATAATTGCTATCAAACTGTTTCGAACTGCAGCAACAATAAGTATTAACAGTGGCGAATTTCAAGAGTTTTAAAAACAAAATTTTGCATTTTAGCTTGCATAAAAACAAAATCACATGAAGTCAACTTACAACTAACAAGATCCCATACTGAATGCAGAATATATATTTTATAAAATATAAGTCATGATAAAAACATAGCAAGGTAGAACCGTTCTCTCAATTTGTCGGCCATGATTTTTTTTTGAAGTTTGCCAACATTTTAAAATCATATAAAAGTGAAAATAAAAAATTGAAATTGTTCGAAATTGTTGTTGCTTGAGATTGAAAATGAAAATGTGTGTGTGAGTTTGTGAGTAAATTTAAAAATTAAATTGTTTGGAAACGTCAAGAATTTTAAAAGTGACTCTCAGCGGTTCTACCTTACTATATTTTTATCATGATATAAGTGCCTATTAGTTTTGAAAACCTATTTCCCTAGCCAACCGAATAAACAAATTTTTAAGAGCCGAAATTTTTCTCAATCAGTTATGAGCCAGAAGCAAAGGCTGGTTTAAAAATGTCAACTTCAAATTTTTAGATAAATCAATAATATATGAAAACTTTAGTAAATTAGTAATATGTATGTACATCAATTGTTGCCAACATTTAGTATTAGTACATATGCAATTTCCAATTGAAAGGTTTGCACGCAATGACGTAATGATACTTATCTAAAACGAGTTCCATCTGAAAATGGCATACACATTCATATTTATGCATTGCTTCAACACTTTGCCAACTAGTTTCAGCACATAAATTTTAGCCTTAACAACTACTTACCGCATTAATTCGTTATTCAGTAATTCAGTAATGTTTATAATACTCATTTAAATTACACACACATACACGAATAGATTAAGAGAAAAAAATTCTTTTATGATTCGCCAATTGCTCGCTGCTGGCCTCTAAACGACGCGCTTACTCATCGCTTATTAAGTGCTATTATTTGAATGCATTTCAAATGTTGCTCTTCTTTAACCCTAAAATCATGATTGATCCAATACTATTTGCATACATTCGCTTACGCTTCAACGGTGAAGGGATCACGCGAGTGATGTATTTTCAAATGTTTGTTGTGATTGGTTTTCGTTGTGGAACTTTTTCCGCATATGGTGCATTGAAATGGCCGTTCGCCGGTATGTATGCGTCGATGTTCGATGAGATAATAATGCCGATGGAAGGACTTTTTGCACAGGTCACAGGTGAACTTCTTGTTGCCGTGATGCTCACGTCGATGCCGCATATAGTTGTATTTCCGTATGAACTTGCAGCCACAATATTCACATGTGTACGGTTTAATTTGTTTGTGTGCGTTCATGTGATTCTTGAAATCCACCTCGCGTACAAACGCCTTGGGGCAGTGCTCGCATTTGAATGGTTTCGCGGTGCGATTGGCATGTACCCAAGAATGAATTTTCAAATTCCATTTGGTGGAAAACGATTTGCTGCAAATTGGGCAGTCATGTTGTGTGTCCATCGAATGTGTGGCCATGTGCGCCTTGATGGAAGACTTTGCAAATGTTTGCTTGCATAAAGGACACTCCATCGGTTCAGTATAGTCAAATTTATCAGAGTGTGCTAAGCGGATGTGGCGGCGCAAGGAGTTCGCATGCACGAAACGATCACAACAGTATGGGCAACATTTCGGTTTAGCGTCGTGTGTTTCCTTATGCCAAAGGAATCGCGCCTTCGAAGGCAACACTTCCCCACAATGACACACATATTCCTTTTTCCTTATGATCTGCTTGCCATGACGTTTACGATGTTGCGTTAAATTCGAGTAGCGCTTAAAGTACTTGCCTGAACAAAGGGAAATGCAAAAATGTTTGACAATTAGCTCGATTACATATATACTTATATGAAAACTAGAGATATCAAACAAAAGTTATTTTTGTTTTAGTGAGCTGTAAAATGCGCTGTTAAAAATATTATTATCAAATTTAGAGTTAATTGAGAAAACTGTTTTTTTTTTGCTTTTCTTTGGCGTAAAAATAACTCGCGAAATTCGACCAATATTTTTCAACGAAGAACGACCGGTAAGCTTTTTTTTTATTTATTAAGCATTCATACGAAGAAAGATTTAAATGTACGAAGAATTTCGAAATGTCCTAAAAAAGCCCCAAAAATTACGAAGGTTCCAAAAATTAAACTTGAATAATCTCGAGAAAACCCTAAAGTTTCTGAAAATTAAACACGACGAACACCGTAAAAGCACATAAAAGTGTCGAAAGACTCCAAAATATAAATAAAAGATATCGAAAAGTAAAAAAAAATAGCAAAGATTGCGAAAAATAAAATTCAAATACGAAGAATCTCGAAAAATCTCAAGGAAATCTGAACTTATTTTTATTTTCTTTAACTTACACGGTGTTATAAACTACAGACGACCGAATATCGCCCAGTGAAAAACCGTTTCTTGTTTCCGAAAAGCGAATTGCAGATTGATAGTGCAGCACGGGCAAGTGAAATATATTTTCGAAATCGTTTTGCGCTCTCTCAATTGCAGTCACATCATGCAAGTTTTATTTCTGAAACTGATTTCTGTTGAAAATGGTTCCTCGACTGTTATGGTCGTGCTGACTGACACACACACAAAAATGAAGTCGTTTCATTAAATATAATATATAAAGTTTCAAACCAAGTGAAGATAATATGATATAATGATAATTACATTCGTATTGTAATAGACGTTGACATAAAGGAAATTAATATTACATTTAAATGAAAATGTTAAAACGTACCGTTGAAACTGTTCGTATGAGCAAATTAACTGTAATGTACAAAATGTATTAACAAACATCCAAGAAACGAAATAAGAAATATTTGAAAGAAATAAATTTTACTTACTATTATTGGAACTTTCAACCTAAAAATATTACGAATGATTTTAAAACTATCCAATTGGGGAATAACCTGGCGGTATGAGGACTTAGTTCCCGGCCATTTAAATACAATCTGAATTAAATATGCTGACATTACTAAAAATAATTTAGAGGAATAACGCGGTTACTTGTTAGGCCGCAATACACATTTTAAATTAATATAACAACACTTAAAGAGAGAAACCAAGAATTGAAAATAATAAGCATGATACAAATATAAGCAGAAACTTTTGCACGTGGTTCTAGCACTCAGCGGTATTACCATATACATCAGATGGAAAATAACCCACTAAGCCCCAATCTAAAAAAAAGACCGATTTCCGAAATGTGACAGAAATATCTTTCTGGCTGTTCACACAGCAAAATAATAATTTTTCTCTTTCTAAATTTGACAGCGATTTGCGTGGAAAAGTTGGATATATTGCTGCGCCTGACAAGCTCAATAGATATGTTTTCAAGTTAACTGTTATTTGCGATCTCTGATAAAAACACATGCAATGCACTTACCGCATACTTTACACTTGAGTGGCGTGTGTCCAGTATGCATACGCATATGTTCCACCAACGCGCTACGCACCACAAACTTTTTGTCACACACATTGCAACCGAACTCTTTCCAGCCCAAATGGCGTTTCAAATGTAGTGAGAAATTCTTCCAACGCTGAAACGTTTTTCCACAAGTGAAACATTCGGCGGGATGTTCACTCAGATGAGCATCATATAATTTGACCGACGTGAAATTACGACGGCACACGTAACAGAAAAATATCGATTGCTCAATCACTTTCTGCTCCAACTCACTAAGGTTATGACTGTCTTTCAATGTTGAAATGTTATAGGATACCAGCATACGGTAGAGCGCAGCCAATTTTGCGGCTGGTGTAGTCATCGCCAGCGGTTGCAGTGCGGGTTTTGTGTCAACTGCGTCTCCGACGCCATCACCTGCATCGTTTGCATTTGAACTGCTTGCTGGCAACAGTGCTAAGCTTGGCTTTTTGTCCAAAAGTTCTGGCTTAGAATCGATGCCCTCACCACTGCCAGATGTGGATGCAGCCGTCACCACAGGAGCGTTAGCAGAAGTTAATGGTTGGTATACATTGTCCACTTCAATTTTGACAATGTCTTGTTTGGAATCCTCCAGGAATTCCATGCTATCTGAACGAACAACCGAACTATTGTAACCATCTGCCATATTTACAACAACAACATTGTCGACACCACCAGCAATTGTGTCGGATGAAGAAGGAACAGCCGCACCTGTTGGCGCTATCGTAGCCGGACGTTGGACACAAATCAGTCGTCGATTTTGACGCACATAATTATGTTGTGTTATCATATGGGAATTACGATCCTTAAGCTTGGGGAACTCGGCTGTGCAATGTGTGCACTGATATACTTTCTTGCGTTGTCGTCTCTGATCTGCACTCAACGAAGTAGTAGCGTTGGCAGCAGCTGTACCATCGGAGGCCGTAGTCCCACCCATCATAAGTGCTGTAGACGTTGCAATATTATCACTATGCTGTAAGTGTTGCAACTGCTCAGGTGCCTGCAGTTGCTGTTGTTGCTGCTGCTGTTGGTGTAACAATAACTGTTGTGATGTTATTGTAGCGGTTGGCTGCATGCGTGATAGTCCCGTTTTGTCAGCCCTGGCATTACTATCGCGTTTACGTTTCTTTTTATTAGTTGATGAAGTGGAGGGTAAAGCATCAGCATGCCGCGCGAAAAGTTGGAAGTTATTATTACCATTTGCTGCCGCTGAGGTAGATGCTTCCAGAGGGAGACGAAAATCAAAGCTAATTTGAATAAAATAATTTAGAGTTTTAGTTTAAAATCAAATTAAGTGAATATGAGGGAATTAATGTAGACCTTTTGCCTGAACGGTTCGAAGAGGTGGCATTTCCTGTTGCAGCAGCTGAAGCGCTCAAATCCTGTACGGTAAAGTACTCATCGTGATTCCAACCATTTTCATGTTGAAATATCCCGGGAAAGGTGGTTTTGAAAAATCGCGCAGAAAGTTCACCATACATCTATAATTGTTATTGATATTGTCTATTACCTAAATGCTAATTAAATATACAATTAGTAAATATTTTTGCTAATAATTATAACGCGCTTTCAGATGCTCAATTTGATATTTTAACACAGTTTTGCAGCAATACACCAGCATTTTTTGCGGGTCTATCGGAGTCGAGTCTGGATTGATAAGAGTTAATTCTGATGCGGTTACAACCGAGCAGGAATCGCTTGCCCAGTATTAGATTGTGCTTATTAAATGGGAGAGTTTTAAGGTCTCGCTGGTTAGACGGTGCTCAGCCGACATCAGAAAACAGTGTCGCACTAGTATCCGGTCACCAAACTGGCGCAGCATAATTTAAAACCATCCAATTGGAAATTGTGTGTTGCCAACATCGTTTTGTTTAACTGCAGTCTCAGTGCGGTACACCAAAAAGTGTCGCGCCGTGTCGCGTAATGCCCCTGCAGAGCGGTCCTACCTTTAGTCAGAAGAATTTTTGCTGGCAAAATCTTGAAAAATGTCAAACTCAACTGAATTTAAATTAACGGAAATTAAAGAACACACGAAAAGTGAGAATAATCTAAAAACTAAAAAAAGTGAATTGAAAATGGAAGGAGGCCCTTTGCAGCTTTGTACTTTATTGACATTTTCAAGCTGTCAAAAGTAACACATACAATTTTATTCTTATTCTTGGCCAGGTAGTAAAAAGGCTGGCCGCAATTTGATAGGGGAGAGGGTGTAGCTTCTTGCAGTAAAGAAGCGAGAAATATCGGCGAAATAGTCGATTACGTTCAAACAAAGGTCAGCAATGCCAATATGGAGAATCGGACGCCAATATGGAGAAATCGTCAGAGTAGAAGATCATAGAAACTCCCTCCTGTGGCTAAGGAAGCTTCATCTTGTAGTAGTTAAACAGTAACATGTAGTAAGGCCTCAAGTGCCTTCACTACCGGGGGCAGATTACAATTAATACCTCGCCTTTAATGATCCTTTGGTTAACACTTTGAAACTAGTAAAGGTAAATGTTTCTTATTTCGGTGGATAATTGGCGCATAAAGAGAATTGTCTTTTGGTGTAATTTTAATTATTTCCCATATATGTATTTTACTTACCGGCTGACTCCAAGAGTTCTCGATGTCGCAATTGCTTTCCTGTCCAGAAATCTCACCCTTTGCCGGCATCTTTTCATCAGTACGTATATTCAGTGCATCTGTAGTGCAACCACCAGCCAAGCTGCTCTCTGTGGCAGCAGCGAAAGAGGACGAGGTCGAAGATGGTGCGCCAGGCATGCCAACTACAATTTCTCGCTTACAAGTATCCAGATCCAAGTATTTGCCTACGTCACCACCATCTACGGCGGCATTGCAATCGACCCCCAAAGCTGTTTCGAAATCAGCATTTGCCGTGGCCATTGCATGATGGTACCAGTGTGAAGCATTATTTCCTATATCGCCACTACCGCCACGTACGCTCCCAAAGCGATTAGTATGTGCTTGTTGCTGTTGAGTTGAACTGGTGGATTCATCTGTGTGCACGGTGTTGCTGCCGGATGCAAGTGTTGCAGCTGTGGTAGCGTCCTGTGTCGCCTGTTGATATATGGCTGAGAAATTACCTCCTTTTGCATCCGTCTGCTGTACACCAGCAGCTACACCACCACCGTTGCCATATAGAAAGCTAAATGGATAATCGGTGAAGTTGTGATTGAGTTGATGCTGCTGTTGCTGGTGTTGATGTTGTTGTTGTTGCTGCTGTTGTTGTTGTTGAACAGTAATTAAATCCTTAGCATTAGATGTGGTCGTGCTATTGGTTGCAGTGGTAGGTACATCTGAAGCCGATTGTGATTGTGAATATGATGATGAAACTACGATCTCTTGCACATCGTCATGGGCTATAAATTCGTCTTCGCAACGCAAGGCGGCATGTGATTCGGTGCTATTTGTATTGGTAATAGTGAGACCCGTCGTCGGTTTCTTCTCATTCATAGTACTCGAAGTATTAGAGAAAATTGAAGTGGCAGAGAGAAAATTAGCCACGCTCGTATGTGTGGGTTCTCGTTTCTTTGAATTTGCAAAATCCAACAGAACACGGGCATCATCATTGTCATTGGAATTGGTGATCTCTTTTGTTTCCTCTTTGAGCAGCTGCAGAGAGCTTGCTTGCGGCTCCTGTTCGGTCTTACATTGAATGATGGTTTCACAATTATTAGAACTGGAGTTTAAATGATTCTCCAATATGCTATGGCCCAACGTGTTTCCTTTAATGCAGACCCTGTTTATATTCGCTTCGTAAACTGATGTGTTTGGCTCACTTTTTATTAATTTGTGTGCTATTGTATGTGTCATTTGCTGTTCTTTATGTTGTTGCTGTATCTTCTCCTCCAATTCCATTCTTGCTTTGGATGAGGTTGTCGGTTGTTCGCATAGTGCTTCTTCTGTAAGAACTTGGAGTTTTACTTCCTTAAAGTCCCTATTTATATTTTGGGTTTGGGTGATGTTGCTTTTGTTGTTTTGGTTGAGGTTAGCATTTGCATCAGTCTTTGTTACTTTTGGCTTGATAACCAGCTTCTTTGGGCCTCTTTTCTGCACTGGCAGTGAACTCAAGGGAGGAGCTTGTGTGTCCAGCTCAGCCTGTGAATCTGATTCAGGCTGTACATTAACTAATTGCTGCTGTTGCTGATGTTCGTCTTTATGCGCCTGTTGCTCCTCTTGTAATTGTATAAAATGTTGCCGCGACAAATCCTGAATTATTATTGATGTAACTTGCGTTTTGTTTGAAGAAGTAGCTAGTTCTGCATACAATTTTTGAGATTTTTTTTCTATTACCGCCGAAAAGTCCACAGCTGATTGCGGTAATTCTTTTTGCGGCTGTTGTTGCTGACTAGTTGTTGCCATGCGTATAACACTGGTTACATGACTGGAGCACGTTGCTGTTGATGGTCCTGTAGCCGACGTGGATGTTAGAGCACTTGTATTCGCACTTTGCATCTGTGGCATTGTGGAACTGGCAGCCTTTGTATCATTGTCACTGTCATTTATTCTAACTTTATTGCTACTACAATTATTTTCAACTATTTTTTCAGTCTCATTTTTGTTGGCGGTTGTAGGTGGTTCGATTACAGTTGATTCGGGAAACTCATTAATCTGGTTTTCTTCGTTAAAATATCCATCCTTAAGTTCGTCGAACTTATGCTGATCCGGTGGTTGATTATTAATTTCGTAGTCATCATCAATCGGCTCCTCTTTTTCAACTTTCAGCAAAGGTATCGGCATGGCACCCGATAATGCACTGCTCTTCGCTGTAATTTTACTAGATGCTATTATATTGCCAACAAGATCGAGATATTCATCCAAATTTAACTGCACGTCGCTCAGCACTGTTATAGTATTCTTTGAACTGCGCTTACGCGATGTTCCGGCAGAATTAGGACTTTGGTTGGAGCTTGATGAAGAACTGGGCACCACATTGGATTCGGTGTTAATATTTGAACTGGAACTCGAAACAGCAATGGGATCGTTGATTATTTCTGTATTGAGAGAATCAACGGACGCACTATGTAATGGTGTGCCTGTATCGCTATTTGCATTACTGTTACTGCCATTGCTGGGGCTTGCAGATGACCTTTCGCTAGTATATCCTTTTGTCTCTACATTCCCTTCAGCTGTGCTATTGTCGACACTAGTTTCTGCATTATTTACCTGAGGACTCCTGTCTGAAGCAGACTGCTCACATTTGTCTTCTTCGCCCGATTTTATGGTTTCTGTGGGACTTCCAGGGCATTCAATATCCATTGTTTCAACTTCACTTCCTTCCGTTTGCTCGGGGATTGTTTGTACCTTCTTTTTGTCGTTGTCTTTTATATCGCTTTCGTCGTTATCCCCACCTTCGTCATCTTTTTCGTTATCCTCGTGTATGTGTAACACACTTAACGGTGACTGATATATACGCTCGATCACCGAAAACTCACCATTATCCTTCTCCACGCACTCGACAATGTGTTTCGGTGTTTCCTGAACGATAAAATCACCATTGTCGCGCTCTAAATAGTGCGCTACTGGCGATTCAGCGTAACGCAACACTGATGATGAAGGAGATTGTGCCGCTGTCATCAATGAATTATAGGGTGAAGATACTTGCCTAATGCCACCAGCTGATGCAATGGCTATAATGGCAGGCCCTGCAGTAGCATGGGAGACCGTATTTGAAGAATGCGCCTGAGTTAGTGTAGTGACACTGGCCATAGCACTGTGCTCAGAACCAGCTGTAGCACCTCGTTGATGCACAGCTGGCGACGCTTTCATCGAATGGACGAAAGTTGACATCGAATGTGGCAAGTGTTGATGGAGCTGCTGCAAATTGTTAGATGTGCGTGTTGGTGGTGGAGGCGGTGGTAGCAGTTCGGTTGGTTTCGGTAGAATCGAAGGTTTTATGTTTAAAGTTGGTATATTAGCAAGTGTCTGTTGTTGGTTACGGTGGTGTAATTGAAGCGTTGTTAGAGCTCTTGTTTGTAATGGCGCCGGATGCATTGTCGGCTGTTGAATTTGTTGTGGAAGCTGCTGCAATTGTTGCTGCAATTGCTGTGGCTGTGGCTGTTGCTGATGATGATGGTGCACTTGATTCTTATCACCTGTTGGATGCTTATTTTTGTTTTGGTTATGTTGAGATCGAATTTGGCTTATCGCAGTGCCATACGCGGGCGGTGGTTTTTGATGCTGTATTTGCGTTGTGGCATGGAAGGGGAAAAGCTGTAAGTTAAATGAAAGGTTATTACAGAAAACATCGGTTCAAGTCAATATAACATTTGGTCTTGAGGAAAAATAGAGTCAAGTTTCTTGTGTCAGGATCAAACGTACCTGGAGGGTAGGCGGTGGAGTCGGCAAAGCTGTAGAATAATATAATTTAAGATTCTGCTGCTGCAGATTATGACTTTGCTGCTGTTGTTGAAACTGATTTTGAACATGTGGATGTGACTGCTGAATCGGATGCATTTGAACCTGACGATGAGTAGTGACATTACTTGCAAATAGTGTGGCTGAATGTGATGGATGTAGCAGTTTGTTCGGTATTTGGCCAACCACTAGAGGCAGTGGTACCACTGTTGGAGGAGGTGGTGCTAATGCAGTGCGTTGTGGGGCATTTGCGCGACTTGCACTCACGCTATCTATATCATGTTGATTTTGATTTTGCTGATGCTTTTGCTGTTGTTGTTCTAATTGACTTGGTGATATTTGTTTTTGCTGTGTTTTACCATATCTATTGGCAGAGAATTCCTCAAAATTGCCGGGAAGAATTTGCCCGACAGCGCTAAGTGGGGCCACAGTTGTGGGTGAAACCTTAACTTTATCTTTGCCATTATTAACACATTCGGACTTGTCATCCACAATATCTTTCACACCAGTGCCCTTTGTGATTGCAGCGGTATCAACTGGTGGCCCGACGGTCGCTGTTGCAGTGGAGGCGGCTGCGGATGATGTCGATGGTTTAGTTATTGCTGATATTGCACTAAACGCAGCTGTGAAGTTCAGACTGTTGTTCTGAGTCGGCCCGGCAGATATAAAGGGTGATAGCTTGCTCGGTGTCGCATTGCTGGTTGCATTTGCATCCGCAACAATGGTTTCCGTCTTCGGTTTTTCGTCCGGATCTGCTTTAGATTCACCACCCCCACTTAAGGATGCCGCAAGCGCAGTTCCCGCAATAGTGCCTCCACTACCCGAAATTGTCATCTGCACCAGAGCCTTAATTACTTGTTCCTTAGGATGCGTCTCTAAATGATCGGAAAGGTTCATGCCAGCATGCAGAAATAGCGTGCATACTGGACACTGTACGTTCTCCCCCATTTTGAATTTCTTCTATGCTTCGTGGACTTTGTATGGATTGGATTTAATTTGATGCTACTGCAGAATTTCTTTCAAGACGATAAGGCTTGAAATCATAAAATCGATACACTTTTATATAAACCCATCTTCGTTAAAAGATCAGCGAACTAAGCGAGGTTTTACTAGAAAGAGAAGGAGATTCGTTTAATGCTGGACGACTTTTAAAACTTAAACAATAAACTCGCAGTCACACTCAACAAGAAATAAAATATTTTTTATATCAAATGCTTTTATTTGCATAAAAATTCAGTCAAATTGTAATAACTCTTAAATTATCTGATGATTTCCAAGTCTTAAAATTAGCAACAACATCTGGCAACCATATTTCGCACGACTCAAACACGTTTTCCTTTGTAAAGAGACCAGCGTACAGACTTCGGATTATAATTACTCCATTTTTTCAAAGAGTTGAAATCTACTCTTCTAATCGGCCGGGCTTAAAGTCTACCCGTTTCTTTTCATTAAAATTCTGGTTATATTATGTGTGTATGTTCAGTAGGGTGGTCCAAAAATACATGCGAGGAGGAAGTTTAAACTGTTACTCTCGCCCCCTAGAATTTTTCTAAATGGAAAAGAGGATACCAACATTTTTTTTTTTTGTTAAAAAGAAAAGATATTTAGAACATCCTTAAAGCCCATGAAGTTTTCCAATTTAACACTTTTTCGTAGAAATGGTACAGAGTTCTCGAAAATCAATATTTTTCAATCGGAAAACTCTGTCTCCTTAGGAGACTTACCAACACCAAGATTTTCAGTTGGAAAGAGTTACCACTGTCAAAATTATTATTAAGAAAAACACTACAGATTTGTTCATGTAAAATTTATCCAGTAACTTGCCAGCAACACTCCAACAACTTCATTTCTTAGATTTCCCTCTCATAGAGAAAAATATCCAAAGATTACGTAAACGCAAAACCAGTAACAATTTGCAAGTTTCAGCTGATTAATTTCTGGTTTATTCGTCGACTGTAAATTTTCAGTGCAAAATTGTTCACTACTACTTTTCATGTTGATTGGTGAATTGCAATATATCAGACTGACAGTACAATAGTAATCGTGAAATAAAATAATTGTTCACTAAAATTAACAGTCGAATAGTAAAAAAAAAAATCAGCCTAATGAGAAATTTTTTTCTTCACTAATATTCAGCCTCATTGCGAGAGTCCTGTCGAATGCAAGTCGTTTTTCGAGAGTCGAATCGTAACGAAAATTTCATGTCATTGCCTAAAATTTCGACTCGACTAGTGTATTAAAACGGAAAAACTTGGCAGCACTGGATAGTTTTCGACGATTTTCGTCGTTCACTTATTTCAGCACGACAGTCGACAGTGCCAATGTTGTCGAGTCGTACAATTTAGCCTAATTTACGACTTACGCAATGAGGCTGATTGATAGTTAAAAAATCCAACACTTGTGTTAGTTTTATTTTTTTGCTGAAGCATTTACATATTTTGCGCTACCAGTACACCTTTCAAATATGAGCCAAGTTCAATTCTGTTGATATGACATTCATAATATGGTCGCCAGATGAAGACAGCGTACTCGAGCTTAGAACGAACAAGAGTAGTGTATAGTAATTTTATGGTATATGGATCAGTGAAGTCCGAGCTAAATCGACGGATAAATGCAAGCATTGAATATGACTTTGCAATGGTATAATTTAAGTGGCTGTGAAAAAGAAATCTAGCATCAAAAATTACACCTAAGTCAGAAACTTCACCAATGGTGGCAAGCTGCGAGTCACCTATGAGATACGAAGTCTGGGTAATGGAACGTGATTTGGAGTAGGAGACATGGTAACACTTTTTTATATTTAAATTTAATCTATTTTTGGAGCACCAAGCAACCACATTATTAAGATCAGCCTGTAGATTGAATGAGTCTGAAGCATTAGAAATTGTAGAATAGATTTTCAAGTCATCCGCATACAATAAAAATTTTGAAAAGTTGAAACAACTAGAAATATCATTAATGAAAATCACGAAAAGCATTGGACCCAAGATGCTCCCCTGAGGAACTCCAGAGGAGGCGATGAAGGGATAGGAGGACACATTGTCAACTACAACAACACAATTCCGCGAAGAAAGATATGATTTTACCCAAGATAAAAAAGCTGAATGAAAACCTAAGCTAGCCAATTTTAAAATTAATTTGAATGACAGACTTTGTCAAACCCCTTCGAAAAGTCCGTATATACGGTATCGACTTGCAGACGGTTATTAAAGGCAGTTAAACAGGATTCGGTAAAAACAGCTAGGTTAGTTACAGTGGACCTTCCAGGCATAAAACCATGCTGATTAACAGATATTAAGAGACTAACAGCAAAAAATACTTTTTGTTTGACAATAAACTCAAATAATTTGGATATCGTTGATAATTTTGCTATTGGCCGATAGTTGCTTATATCGTTTTTATTGCCAGATTTGAATACCGGGGTGATAAGAGTGGTCTTCCAAGCTTCTATAAACTCCCCCTGTTCAAGCGATTTATTGAAGATCAAAAAAGTGGATAGGCAAAGGCGGGACAATTCTTCAACAGGAATGACGATATTCCATCAACATCAGATTGAGTTGAAGATTTGATATGCCGGATGCCATCCTCAACATCATCAATTGAAATAGCAAGCGAACCAAAATTGATAGGAGAATGGGCACTCTGAGGATAACCGACACAAGGATCCGAATCCTTCACAAAGTTGGAGCGAAAGAAATCCGCGAAAAGATTGGCAGCTTCAGAGGGAGTAGAAGCTTGCATTTCATGATAAAACACATCACATATTAGACTACATTCTGTCCTCTAAATGGGTAATACAGAATATAGGTAACAAACCCACTTTTTTCACCAGCAGGAGACAAGAAGTGATAGATCTAACCTTAATCAACGTAGTTATAACGGATCATATCAAAGGATGGTTGGTCTGTGCTAAACAGGCTACAAAGGAGTGTGTGTATAGGCATTACAGGAGCCATGAGTACAACGTCAGGACCGGCTCTTAATGATTTGTTGAATTTGTCGCCTCAGGATTTAGCGATCGAAGAGGAGGCAATGAAAACGATGTGCCGACTGTACTCTTTTGATCTGTGGCAGGACGATCGGAGCTCTGGGCACAGATAAATGTTCAGAAGGTTGTCAGAGCAATATCCTTTGTTTTTGGCACCAAATGACAAACTGATACCTAGAGTCTCCTTTGGTAGAAAGTACGCGGTTAGATTTCCTACAAGGGAACAATAGAGAGATGCAGACACTCTCTTGGGAAGCTCGGTGAAAACTTTCGATACTGACGGCTCAAAAACTGAAAACGGTACTAGAGCTGGATGGCATCTGGGCGGAAACTTCAGATGCTTTACCGCTTTGGGTGCAATGACAACGGTCTTTCAATCGGAAGTCTTTGCAATACTGAAAGTGGCAGACTGGATAATTGGCGAAAGGTGGCGCGGACATAAAATCAGGATCTGCAGTGACAGCCAAGCTGATCTAAAGATCCTGGAAACCGCTCGAACCTCTTCAAAATTAGTCCAGGAATGTAAGCTGAGGCTGAACTCCGTTACAAGATGGATGAGCTTGAACTTATGTGGGTGCCAGGACACAACGATGTTCCTGGGAACGAACTGGCTGATGAATTGGTGAACCAAAATTCATAAAGGAGTCTGGTAAGTTTGCAGAGGAGTAATGAATTCCCACCCCACCTACATATACCTCTCCTCTAAATCCTGTTTCTTGGCCTTAAGTACAATGGGCAATACTGCTTGAGTGCTCGGAAAAATTTGTTTTTGGATGGTTATTGCGGCTTTTTTGTAAAAATTCAAGATTCACAATTAACATTACGAGTATGAATTCAAGAATTTATATCAATGAAATAAAAATAAGTGTAAATATAACTGAAATAATGCCTTCCGCGAAATAGAACCTGTCAACAAAAATCTCAAATCGTTATTTGGCGGGCGGACGTAGGCGGACTCAAAGTTTATAAAACAATAAAGTTATCACACAGCAGTCTAAACACACAATTACTTACATCGGTACTCATAGACGTCCGTCACGCTAGCTGACCCACTTCTCCAAAAAATTATAAAAAATTACTCAGGAATTAGGTGCAACTTAGGGCCTCCAAAATTTATTTAAGGGACCAGTCGGTTTCCGAGAAAATTGCAAAAATATATATATGTATACACTAAACTTCGCCGAACACTGGTAAATATTGTTCAGGAATAAGGTGCAATTCAGGGCCACCAAAATTAACTTCGGTGCACACTCGATATCCGAAATATTCCGAAAACTGTGATTTGGGTCAGCTAGCGTAACGTCACGCTAAACTTCGTCGAACACTCCCATCCCATAGGCGTGGAATTTTTTATCAGCTATAACTTCGGAACCACAAGTGACACGAACTTGAAATTTGGTATGCAGACAAATCAACAGTAGGTGCTTATACGAGGGTATATATAAACGAGTTTGTAAAAGGGGTGTGGCACATCCCATAGGTGTGGAATTTTTTATCAGCTATATCTTCGGAACCATTATTCCCACGAACTTGACATTTGGTATGCGGACATATCAATGGTAGGTGATTATAGGACGGTATATACAGTATCGGTCATATCTATAGCACGCCATTTCCAAGTGATATTGTGTGCCCCTTATGTTTATTTATTTATTTTTAAGAATTTTCAATTAAGATTTAGTTCATTCTCAGACAAACCCCATATATAGCCAAGTTCAACAATTTGTAAAAAACTACAAAAACGTGTTACAAATTTTCACCTAAATTTGAAACTTTTTTCCCGGAAGTGTTAGAATTTTTTTGAGTATACAATTTTTTAGCCCCTGCAATTTTAGTCTGATAATGTGCAAATTTCAAGGGGCTACGAATTACCGTTCATTTTTTAGAACTTTTTTTTGTCGCATTCGCTTCCATATAATGAATAAACTCAATTTATTTGTATATGGAAGAAAACCGCAACACCTTTGGCGAAAAAAATTCTAAAACATCAACGGTAACTTTTAGCCATTTGAAACTTGCATATTATCAGACTAAAATTGATTGGGCTATAAAACTGTGTATTCAGAAAAATTCAAACACTTCCGAGAAAAAAGTTTGAAATTTAGGTGAAAATTTGTTGCA